AGAATAAATCCAACCAAAGACACACAAGACCTATCCACTGAAAAAATATAAAACATCATAGAACGGCATTACAGCCCCAGGGGGAAAGATCTGGGAGCATGGAGTAGAAGAACAAACACTCTTAAAGTGGCTCCCCTCCTCCAAGTCGGTGCCCAGGTGCAATGCAATCCTGCCAGAATTCTACCTACCTTATTTTTTCCCAGAAATTGAAACTGCAGTTCTAAAATTGATTTGAAAACATAGGGGATGCAGCATAGACAAAACAGTGCTGATTGCAAGGAATTAAATTTAAAACATGCACTCCAGTTCTGAACTCACTCCAGAGCTGTGGCAATCCACGCCCTGAGGGCCAGAGAAGTGGGCCAGAGGTTAGAGGGCTTTCTGTACAAATGTGGAGACAGGAGGTCAGGCTCCCAGAACCGCAGAAAAAAAATGCCAAGTCGACATGGTGATCCATTTGTAACTCCAGCCTCAGAAGGCAGAGACAAGCAGATCCTCAAGGCAGGCGAGCTCGTGAGAGTAGCCACATCCGTTTTGACTGACAGACCCTGCCTCAATGATTAAAACAAAATGCAATCAAGACAGATGCCTAATGTCAACATCAGTCCCCCACATGTGTACACATACCTTCAAACACACCCTATACATGCAAAAACATTCATGCATACGCACATAACACACACGTATGAACACACACAATGAACACACACACACGTACACACAGAGGTGGCTATGATGGAAGAAAGACCCAGAGATCAATGGAATGGCATTGAAAGCCCCTAAGTAAATCCTTACATTCACAGGCAACTGACTTGTGACAGGGGTGACATGAGAGTCTTTTGAACAAATGGCACTGAGACAACTAGACACACACATGAGAAAGAGCGGATTTGGACGCTTCCCTTAGATCATCTGGGAAAAGAGCTCAAAATGGATCAAAGGCCTAACTAAATATAAGAGCAAAAATGATGAAAGCCATAGAAAACACAGGGAGGGATAAATGCTCCTGACCTTGGCATTGTCGATGGTTTCTTAGATACATCAAAAGTGCAAACAAACAGAGAGAACAAACATTATTACCAAAATTAAAGACACCCTGCTTCAAAGGACACTGTCAATACAGTGAGAAACTCACAGGACGGAGGGAAGTGTTCAGTGTTCCGTCATCTGAAAAAGCTCGAGTGTCCAGATGTGTGAGGAATTTTTGCATCGCATGGAAGAAAAGGAAAGAAGACAGGAGGGGAGAGGGGGAAGGAAGGAGGAAGAGAAAAAGGCAAGGCAAGGCCTGCAGGATGGCTCTGCGGGTGAAGACGCTTGCTTCCAAGTCTGGCTAATTGTATTCATTCCCAGGACCCACATGTTGGAGTAGAAAACCTGTTTGTCCTTTGACCTCCGCGCCTACATGCAGCAAATACACACGCACACGAAGAAACACAACTCAGGCAACTCGTTTTTACAGCAAACGAAGGTCCTCAGTGGGCATTTTCCCGAAGAATATATGAAACAGCCAATATGATGTTTAACACTGCAAATTACCAGAGAAATGCAAATAAAACCCACAACGGCCAATTCTTGCTCTCTAGGATGGCTAAAATAAAAATCAAAGCAGGCAGTCACAAGATGGGGTCAGCATGTGGGAAATGTGTACCCCAGTATGTTAATGGGAGTGTAAAGTGGTGTGTCGTTGCTTTGGGAGACAATTTAGACAGTGATTGAGATTCCACACAGTTGCCATATGACCTCAAATGAGCAATTCCAACTATTGCTATACACCTGAGAAAAGGGAACATCTGTGGCCTGTGTCTTACTGGGGAGACGTGAGCAGACTCTACCCACCCCCGATAGGGGTGACAAGAAACCAAAGAAACTCTCGGTGAGCCAGTGAATCTTTGGGGGTGACTGCAGAGTTGCTGATGAGTGGGTACTGCCAGCAAAACACCCACCCACCTGTTTGTGTGATGGCTCATGAAGTCACCGTGTCCAACAAACAGGCAGATCAGCTGGTTACAGGCCTTCTTCTCCATCGTCTGTTACTGTTCGTATCATCTCCCCGTCCCGCTTTGGAGTCTCCTGAGTTTCGGGAGCTTCCTGGAATTTCCATTTTGTTTTGTTCCTGAGTTTTAAGATGCTTCCTTGGGAGGAAGGGATGTTTTCAGTTTAGAGAGAATTAGTACACAACATGTAAAGACTACACACACACACACCCAAACACACACACACACACACACACACACTGACATTCCATGCCAGAGAGAGTCATAATGCCCAGAGAGGAAACAACCCAAATGCCATTGAGTGGTAAGTGAAGGCAAAAGGCTGTGGTTTAATCACATCTGAGAAAGAGGGACCAGGGTGCTTGAATCCATGCGCATCCAATGAGTTGTGACTGGAACAATGAGAGGAGTCACGGAGGAAGAGAGAGAACCACACAGGGGGCTTGGCTTGGGAACATGAAGCCGGAACATTCTGGAGGTAAGCCAAGGAGTGTTCTGTCCAAGCACGGAAATACCTGAAGTGATATCTTGGAGGCAGGGAACCACAGCATGAGGGGTGTAGGTTAGAAGCCACCGCAGTAGGCAGACTACACCAAGATAGCGCCCACCCAGGCCTGAGACAGAGCAGACTTTGACAGTGGGTCCTGGGTCCCCTACTCTCCTACCTTGCAACAGAAAAGTAGACAAACAATGGGTCTGATGGCATCACTTCCTTTTCTCATCTCTGCTACAAAAATACCAGCCACAAACGCGGTAGTAGACAGATTCGTTTTGACTCATGGTTTCAGAGGGTCTTAGGGCATCACCACGGGAGAAGTGTGGTGGGGCAATTCACATCCTGGCAGATGGCACATGTGGAGACCAGTCTACGTCATGACTGACCATGACCCAGCATTAGGTAGCAAGCAGTCAGGGATAACAGATCTGCAAAGATGTCCCCTGGTGACCCACTTCCTTCCTCTGGCAATGCCCCTACCCCCTAAATGTTTGACAGGCTCCAAAAATGGCATCACCAATGGGAGACCAAAACATGAACCCCCTGAGTCCATTTCACTCAAATCCGTAACATCTACCATCTTTCAGGCCATGAAAGCATTCTGGGTAACGAACCCAGCAGAACCTCTGTATATCAATGTGAAAATCCCACCAAGAGCTCCTCTGTCCTTAGCTGTCTACTTGGCACAGCCTAGAATCGCCTGAAAAGGCAGTCTCATTTGGGGGGGCTGCACATATTTCATTGGCTTGTGGGTGTGTCTGTGGGAGACTGCTAATGGATGCAGGAGGGCCCAGCCCACTGTGGGCGGCTCCATTCCCTGGGCAGGTGGCCCTGAACTGAGCACAGACCTATGAGCCGTCCAGAAAGCAGCGTTCTTCCATGGTTTCTGCTTCAAGTTCTTGCTTGAGTTTTTGCCTTACTCCCCTCAGGGATGAACTATAACCTGGAAGTATAAGATGAAATAAACTCTGTCTTCCCCGTGTTGTTTTCCCCCTCTTCTTTCTTTTTTGGTTTTTTTTTTTTTTTTTTTTCCACGACAGGATTTCTCTGTGTAACGTCTTAACTGTCCTGGAACTTGCTTTATAGACCAGGCTGGCCTCGAACTCAATGCGATCCACCTGCCTCTGCCTCCTGATTAAAGAGGAGGTACCACCACAGCCTGGCTCCCTAAGTAGCTTTTGATCAGATTTTTTTTTTCCCACGGCAGCAGAAAGGAAACTAGAACACGGCCCCCTTGCCTGCCCTCTCTGGGGCCAGCATGGCTTGGACTAGTATCTGATTTTCACCGGTTTCAGTACACTGGGTCTGTCCGTCATACCCTAGCAGTCTTCAGAAGGGAACCTCTCACTCCGAGCCGCATTAAGCGCTGCTCTTTAAACATCTGGGTCACAGATATGCTCAGTTAATTAATGTTCTTAGCGCTGCTCATTTGCCGGCTGGATAATAGATTGATTCATAATTTCAATAAGCAGCTGTGTATATCTTTCCCTGGAACATAAAGGCGGCCCGCTGTCATTCATCAATATGCATTTGGGTGAATTGAAACCTACTCGGGGCAATGTTGTTTGGGGAGGGGAGGGGAGGGCTTCTGAGTTTCCCACCACTTTGCCGCGAACAATTACTCTGATTTGGAACTAATTTGCGTGTAGAGCACACATTCATAGCATCTCTCTCAAGGACACTTAATAAGCTCGCTATTGCCTGTGCGAGGGGAGCGGCAAGGCTCCCTTTGGGGATCAGAGCCAAGGGTTTCTGAGTAGCATTCACCGAGAGATGAGAACCCTCTCAGGGAAATCTCAGCACCTGAGAAGATTCACTCCCGCTTCTGCGCACAGCCCTCGGGTCTGGTCCCTTCACTCACTGCTGTGACAAAAACGCCTGACCACAAAACATAAGGAAGAAAGGGCTAATTGGGGCCCCCAGCCTAAGGGACAGCCATGCTGGCAACGGTGTAACAACAAGGGGTCACACGGAATCCGGAGTCAGGAAGCAGAGGAAGATGGATGCTGGGGCTCGGCTCACTTTCTCCTTTTTCTTCAGCTCAGGATCCCGGTCTGAGAACGGTGCCACTCACATTTAAGGTGGGCCTTCCCACCTCAGATCACTCCCAGAGAAAACTTTAAGGGCATGCGCAGAGGTTTGGATTCTGGATGATTCTAGATCCTGTCAACTTGCCGTTCGATATTTACCCACGTCTCTCCTACTATCGTCTTGGCTGATTCCTAAGCAGAAACTCCCAGGCTCTGTAGAAGGTTCAGGGGTTTTCCAGAAGTCTAAACAGTCACTTCTGCTGAGCTATAGGGCCAGGGAGGGAGGAGTTGTGATGTGGTGTATCAGTGTCCGGGCGCAGCTAGCTCATGGTTCTCCTAGAGCAGGCTGTCCTGTGTGTTAGGCATTCGGGGGCAACTGTGGAATGGACAGAAAGTTGAGGTAAAGCTGGGGACCTGAGCTATGGTGCCTCTTAGGGCCTCACCCTTTCCCTCTCTCTTGCTACTCTCCCTCCTCCACAGCTTGCCCGCTACACCAAGGAAGGCTTCCTGCACTTGGGTGCTCTAGGGACCACCACACTCCTCCCTGACACCCGCTGCCTGGTGGACAACTCCAAGAGCCGGCTGCCACAGCTCCTGGACTGTGACAAGGTCAAGAGCAGCTTGTACAAGAGGTGGAACTTCATTCAGGTGAGCTCTCTGGGGGCGGGGCTGAGGGAGGAGCAAGATCCTACCAACCACAGGGGAAGGGGTAATGGTGCTGTGTCCCCAAGGCTCCCCACACCATGCCACTGGGGAGTCAGCTCTGCCAGTCCTGGACCAAGCTCGCAGACTCGTTTCCAGGACCACTGGAGGAAGGGTTTCTGTGAGAAGTAGCCTGTCTGATTCCATTGCCAGTGTTGGGGCTGCTTTGGGTAAACCCATAGAGAGGATTCCTGAATGCTGCTATGCACTCTCAAGCAAGGTTGAGAAAGTCAGCTCTCAGATAGCTTTGGAAATTTCTGTGTATGTACACACTCCCATGTATGCAGGTATGCATACATATATACATACTTATGGGGGTCAGAGGGGAACCTTCAGCTACCTACTACCTAGATATTTTTAAGATTTTATTTTATTTTCAATTATGTGTGTCTGCACATGAGTGCCTGTTCATAGAGGCCACAAGGAGGCGCCAGATCCTCTGGAGCAGAAGTTACTACAGATGGTGGGAGCTGCCCATAGAGTGGGCTGAGAACTGAACTTGGATCCTCTGGAAGAGCAGCAAGTGCTGTTAAGAGCCTTTTCTCCAGCCCCTCCAACCCCGACCCTAGTGGGTTTTGTTTTGTATTTGTTTTTGAGACAGCGCTCTTACCTGCTTGGAACTTGCCAAGTAGGCGAGCCTTGCTAGCCAGTGAGCTCCAGGAATCTTCCTGCTTCAGCCTCCCCAGAACTGAGATTACAGATACACATCGCTATGCATAGCTTTTTAATGTAGGTTTTGAAAATCAAACTCAGTTCTCCATGCCTGCATGGCAAACATGTGCACGTGCATACACACAGTACACACACACACACACACACACACACACAGCTGCCAGAAGACAGTCTGAAGGGGTTAGCTCTTCTCTTCCAAGATGGACTTCCAGTCATGAGGCGTGGCAAGCTCTCTCCCCATCCCGACCTCAGGATATCTCTATCCTGCCTCAGTCACTACCAGTTTCCCCCACCTGGTTTAGCCACTCGAACACAGTGGCTCCCATGTTCCCTTCCACTGTGGGAGAATGTGGGTGGAGTTTGTTCCCTGACAAGAAGTCCCAAATACAGGTGCTATGATGGTAAAAGCTCTGTCTGACTCTCTCTCTCCCCCCCACTTGTTTCTTTCTTTTCTTTCCTTCCAGAATGGAGCCATAATGAATAAGGGCACGGGGCGCTGCCTGGAGGTGGAGAACCGGGGCTTGGCCGGCATTGACCTCATCCTCCGAAGCTGTACGGGACAGAGGTGGACAATCAAGAACTCCGTCAAGTAGATGGAAGGGACGAGGGCACCTGGAGCCCAGAGCCAGGACAGGGCCTGGCGATCCTCAGAACCAGCCTCATGGTGGAGAGACAGCAGGCGCCCAGACAGTGCTCAGCGGACCTCCCAGGGCTCCTTCAGGACAGCCCTGGATAAAGATGCTCAGTCCCTCTCAGGCATTCAGCCTGTACGCTTCAAAGATCTCCCCTCACTCTTGTCTGGGAGACCAGGAGCTGCATCTGCTGCATACCAAGGGGCGAGACTGCTCTTCTCTCTCTGCCATATCATCTCCCACCCAGCGCCAGCAGCTGGGTCTGGCAGGGTCTCTCTCTCTCTCTCTCTCTCTCTCTCTCTCTCTCTCTCTCTCTCCTTCTCCCTCTCCATCTCTCTCATCTCATTCTTTGCTGCAGCTGCTTGTGAAACTCACCCTGGCCCTCCAAGAAATGGGAGGTGGGCATTGGGGCTTTGACAGCATCCTAGCTCCCTCTTGGAGAAGGAGGCAATGAGACCCTGAGACTTCATTTCTGCTGAGGACACTTTTGGCCCAGAAACCCGGTTGTATGCCAAGGCAGCCACCACCCAGACCATCCCAGCAAGATGGCGTTGGGACAAGCGTTCTGAACCCCTCTGGGTTCCTCTTGAGGCTCCCTGTCTCCATCACCTGGAGCCCCAAATATGAACAGCACCTGCCTGCGTCTAGAGGGAGCCAAATCGACTAAGCATGCAAGATGTTCCCAGTACCTAGTCAGTACAGCCAGGGCCAAGGTGTCCTGGTTTCAGGGAGCAGCAAGAGTCCTCCGTGCAGGACAGAAGGGCTGAAGAGTCAGCCTAGCAAAGGGTACAGGACCCTCCGTGATGCTTAGCCCTCAGCTCCTATCACCCCACGCTCTGCTGGCTGATGGGGGACAGAAGCAGCAGTCTCCTCTTGTAAGAGTGATGGCTGCTTTCCGATTGCCCTCTGGTTAGGGTGCACTTATAAATCAGAGTTAATATATGGATGCGTCTGCATGCGCGGGAAAGCGAGAGTGCGTGCCTGCCTGGGCGATGCGTGTGACTGGGTGCCGTGTTGGTGTGCCTGAGCGCGTGAGTGTGCTAGCGCAGAAGTAGCGGTGTGGTCTTGGGCTTGTGGCTTCATTGCTGACTGGATGGGGACGAGGATGCCTAGAAGTACAGGGTGGGTGGTCCCATGTCTCTGGGTCACTGGCCCAGAGGACGCTGCTGGGTCTTGCCTGCTAGGGTACCCCTTCTCTGAATCCCCACCCCCATCCACTACTGCCCTTGGCCAACTCCTGCCCAGAGCCAAATCCTGTAGGTGCCCAGTATGGGATCCAGTGTCTCATTTGGTGGTATCTCTATTGGGGATCATTCCTCAACCCATCTCCCCTCCTTGTGAAATAAATGTGTTAGCAATCCCACAATGCATACGTCAGCCTCACCTGCCTTTTGGTTTTCATATCGGTGTTTGCTTTTGTCATTATTTTGCAATTGTGGATCACATCCAACTCAAGCACTCTACCCTCAAACTACATATCCCCAACACTTAGGCTTCATTCTTCCCATACCCAGTGACCGCAGGAGAATTTCTGAGACATAGAGTGTTTCTTTGGCTTAGAGGCAGTTAAGTTTGGTTTAAGACAAAGCCATGCTCTATAGACCAGGGTTGACATCCTCTGACAAAAAGTACATTCAGGGAGGAAATGCATAAATGGCTCACAATTCCAGGTTACAATCCGTCATTGCAGGGCAATCAAAGCAGGAATCTGCAGCAGCTAGTCACCTTTATGCCCAGTCAAAATCAGAGAGAAAGGAATGTAGGTGTGTTAAATTGTGCTAAACACAGTTTCTCTGCTGTTATGTAGTTCAGGACCCCCTGCCTAGGGAATGATGCTGCCCACAGTGGGCTGGGTCTTTCCACATCAATTACCTTAAGACAATCCTCACAGACCTTCCCACCGTGCAATGCAGTATAGACAATCCCTACTGAGACTGTCTTCCCAGGATGTGTCAAGTTGACAACTGAAACTAGTCACGTCTCCAACCTGCCTGTCTGAGTTTGGTCTTACTAAAGATAAACAAACATCCTCACAGTTAGGTTTGAGACAAAGCCTGCCTACTCCTCCAACATCTATTTAAACCTGCATAGAACTTGACTATTTAACCCTGCTGACCTCAGGTTACGAGGTCAAGTTGTTCAGAAGGCCTTGAGTCTGGCTCTGCACACCTGGCCTGGCCACCTCACCTTCCCCTTCTATTGCCTCCAGCAACTTCCACCGTCCTTGGTGCACACAGCGCCTCCCAGGCGTTCATAGAGAAGCTGAATCCCACAAGATGTCTTGTTATGGAAATGGTGGGTCCCATGTCATGACTCTTTTGTAGGAAGAAACCAGGAAGGACCATCTTTGTTAATGTAGAGAAACAGAGAGAGGGAGAGGGAGAAGGAAAGGGAGAGAGAGATGGATGTAGCGGTAAACATAGGTATCAGTTACCATATTCCTAGTGTGTTCTTTGAGAACTGGGCTCAGACTGTATACTTATGGGGAATGTTTATCCTCAACTGTCACCTTAAGTACCCTTATCTCGGGGTAACTGAAGGGCAAACAGCTTGAGAACTTTGGGTTTGGGGAGCGATGGAGAAGGGGAGGAGACAGTTGGCAGGCCAGAGACCATGCAAGCTTCACTGGACTACTGTATAAAACCTCCTGAGGCAGCATCCGTGTGGGGAAGAACGGCTGGTGTCTTGGAACTTCAGTGCCGTGAAGCATGGGGCAGGGTTGCCGTGTGGTGGTGAATGCTGGGGTTGGTCTCCTGGGAGGTGAATCCCCTATGGGCATCAGCACCCAGGCTTTAAATCTGAGCAGTGGTCTTTGGTCCCAGAGTCCAGGAGCCAGGATGGCCATTCTCATAAGCACTATGTCATCAACTTCCTCCCAAAGCCTGGGGTCAGCAGCCAGGTCATCCTGTGGTTCTGTCCAATGACACAGGTTGCAAGCAGCTGGAGGTCAAGGGAGAAAAGAGAAATTGGTGAAGCCGGAAAAGGGGGGAGAGAACAGAAAGATCGGCTGAAGTGGATTTGAATGGGAAATGTCCCCCAGAGGGTCATGGGTTTGAACACTTGGTCCGCAGAAGGTTCTTAAACCTCAGGAACTAAGACCTTGCCAAAGGATATGAGCCACTGGGGACAGGCTTTGAGGGCTTTTGTTCTCACTGGTGTGTGTGACTGTGCAAAGGTCAGAGGACAGTCTGAGTGTTAGACCTGACCCTTCTACCATGCTTGAGGCAGTGTGCTGTTCATATGCCAGAATACCTGGTGTGTGAACTTGTGGGAACTCTTTTGCCTCTTCTTCCCGGCTTACTATAGAGTGCTGGGATTACAGACATGTGTTACCACAACCAGTTTTGCATGGCTTTTGGGGAACCCTGTACTGCATTAGCTATCTCCCCAGCCCTGTGATTCCCCCCCCCTCCTGACTGAGCTTCTCTGTGTAGACCAGGCTGGCCTTGAACTCAGACCCTCCTGCCTCAGCCTCCCAAAGGCTGGGATTTAAGGCGCGAGCCACCACACCCAGCTAGCCCAGCCACTCTTCTGGTACAGACCTCCCATCAACACTCTGCTTCTAGACTGTAGATACAATATGCCCAGATGGCTCACAATCCTGCAGCCATCCCTTTTCTACCATAATGGACTATACCCCTTCTCAAACCATGAGCCAACATTGCTTTTAATCAGGTGCTTTGTTGTAAAAAAGGAAAGTTGGGTGAATCTTTGATCCCAAATCCTTTGGGATTGTGGGAATGTCCCAGTGACGCCATTTTGCCCGATAACAGCAGAGCAGCAAGCTCTAAGCATTCAGCTCAAAGAGAGCATGTGGTCTTCCACCAAAAACTTGTGCATGGCATAGTCAGAGACATAGCATATGGGTTTCTTACTGTCACCCCATCTTGGCCTCAGAGGTGGCTATGGCAGGAGGTGTTGGGCTCTAAATCCCTTTCACTGTCCCCCTTCTTCCTCCCCACACTGACCATACACACACACACACACACACACACACACACACACACACACACACACAGACCCGTTCTCTTTCCTCCAGTTGATCCCTTAATCTCATAAAAAGTACTTCTGAGAAATGCCCAAGCTGTCAAAGCCTGTGCCTTTGAATCTGTGTGTTATGTCGCAAATGTCTTCATTATGGCTGTGCTTAACTCTGGGGCCTAGAAAAGGGACAACATGAAGCTGGGCATGGTGACATAGATCTGTAACCCCAGCGGTCAGGAGGCTGAGGCAGGAGGTAAGCCGCGAGTTTGAGGCCAGATATATTGTTAGTGCTAGGCCAGCGGGGAGACCAAGTTTCAAAGGCCATGGAGGAGAAACAATAAAAGGGAGGGAGGGAGGAAGGGAAGGAGGATGAGAGATGGAAAGAGAAGGGAACAGAGAGAAGAAAGAGGAGAGGGGAGGGGAGGGGAGAGGAGAGGGGAGGAAAGGGAGGGGAGGATAGAGGAGGGAAGGGGAGGGGAGGGAGAGGAGAAGTAGAAAAGGCGGACGCAGCAGCGTGGAAACTGGCGGTCATCTTGCCATCTACTGTGATTTCTAAGCCATCTTCGTTCACCTGCTACATTTCCCGCTATACTTGAAAAAATTCCTGTTTTACAAAGTGAGCCCCACAAGGCCAGGCCACGCTGCTAAGACTGTGCAAGTACTCGCTGTCCCCAGTTTCTACGCCATGCACCTTTCTTGAACTAAATGACAGCTGGCTGGGGCCAGGGCTGTTAGAGCCTGCTGAGGTAGCCAGGTGCCCAGAGCCTGCTCACGGCCAGCCTCCCGTTCTGATCTGGGCTCCAAATCACCAGCTCCCATTCTGCTGGCTTCTCCTTTCCTCCTTTGAAAACTGCTTTTTCATTGATCCTGTAACTTCTAGATCTGAGTTAGGGGCCGACGGGAAATTTTTCATTCTGTAACACCACTTCAATGCCATTTGACAAGTGTATTTAATCACGTCTCCTGTGGGGGAGCTTTGCGCAGTTTCTTCTAGAAATTAAAGCCGGGCAGTGGTGGTGCAAGCCATTAGTCCCAGTACCTGGGAGGCGGAGGCAGATGAAGATAGCTTGGTCTACAGAGCAAGTTCCAGGGGCAGGCTGGGCTACACAGAGAAACCCTGTTTTGAACAACAACAAAGAAAGCTAAAAAAGACATGTACAAAACACACATACACACACACACACACAGAGATGTTAACTGATAAAATGTTTAAGGGACTGGAGAGATGGTTCAGCAATTAAGACAACTTGCTACTCTTACAGAGGTTTCAATTCGCAGCACCCACGTGGTAGCTCACAACCAACCGTGACTCTAGTTCTAGGGGATCCAAAACTGTTCCCAGCCTCTGTGGTGTTGTATGTATACAGTGCACAGACATATCTGCAGGCAAAACATTCACATATATAAAATAAAAATTGTTAAACGTTTAAGATAAACCCCTGTATGTGTGTGCATGCATTGGTGTGTGGGTATGAGCATGTGACTACAGGTGCTTGCAACAGCCAGAGGCATCAGGGTCCCTGAAACTGGTTGTTGCAGGTGGTTGTGAGTCATCCAACGTGGGTGCTGGGAACCGAACTCAGGTCCTGTGCCAGAGTACCAAACTCCCTTAACCATGGAACCATCCCTTTAGACCCTATTATTTTAAATACAAACCTAGGCATACCTGGGCATGATGGTGCCCACCTTTAAACCCAGCACTCATAGGCAGAGGAAGATGAATCTCTGTAAGTCCAAGTCAGACTTGTCTGCATAGTTAAGTTCCAGACCAGCCAAATATACATAGTCAAGCACCATCTCAGCAAAACAAACAGAAATCAGCACGCATAGTAATTTGTTCTTGTAATTCCGCACTGGGGAAGAGAGAAAAGGTTCCCTGAGGGTTGTTGGCTGCCAACCTGGCCTTTTCAACAAGTACCAGGTCAATGAGGGGATTGCCTCAAAACCATAGTGGACAATACCTGAGGAACTACAGCAAGGGTTAATCTGGGTGCCACTTACACATGCATTAATATGTGGACATATATGCACCTGACTACACCACACACACACACACACACACACGTGTACAATCTTAATTAAAAGTGAAAGAAAGGGCAGAAAGGGGGAAAGGAAAAGGGGGCAGGTGGGAAGGATAAAATCACAGTAAAATGTATTTTAATTTGCAAGTTGTGATAACGAACAGATGTCAATATCTCTGCCTTTTGTAACTCATATCTGAGGGGCTGGAGAGATGGTTCAGTGGTTAAGAGCTCATTGCTGTTCTTCTAGAATACATGAGTTCAGTTCCCAGCACCCACACCAATCACCAATCATCAATCACTTCATGACAACCAATTCCAGGGAATCTAATGCCCT